TATACATATATATATATATATATATATATATATATGTATATATATATATATATATATATATATATATATATATATCTATATATATATATATATATATATATATATATATATATATATATATATATATATATATATATATATATATATATATATATATATATATATATATATATATATATATATATATATATATATATATATATATATATATATATATATATATATATATATATCATAATGAGTGAGTAATATACAAAGTAATTATTGTCACAGCATGATAGATAGATAGATAGATAGATAGATAGATAGATAGATAGATAGATAGATAGATAGATAGATAGATAGATAGATAGATAGATAGATAGATATTTGGAATTATATATATATATATATATATATATATATATGTATGTATATAGTGAGAAATATACAAAGCAATAGGCATAGTAGCAAGAATGAAACCATCTTCAACACTGGGCTAAAAACTTCATTATCCCACTCCTGGTGATCTTTAAATCTATTCTAGAGCAAATACTTCCAAAAGCAGTATTAAATGATATGTACTCTTACCTGGAATGCTGAAGTCAACCAGTGATGGGTTGGTCGATGGAAGCTCCTGGCTCCCTCAGTAGTATGTGTGTGTTTGCCTGTGCCGATGGGAGCTCTGTCATTGGGATAGGTATGTAGTGGGTGACTTTAGTTAACGGCCAGCACATCCAGACTGAGAGCTGCTACTGGTGACAAGGTGGGGCTACATGGAGAGCCCGAGTGGTGAAAGTGTGTAGATGAGGTCTTAAAGAGACAGTAGTGCTCATGCTGTCATTTGGTATGTGTTCAAACAAAACAAGTATGTCTTCCTGTGCATTATGTTATTTGCTGTTTGTTTACACTATCTGGGCTTGCACAGATAAAGCAGGAGTTACCTAAATGCAGGGCACTATGTAGTGAAGGGCTGTCAATAATTTATTAACGTGGAAAGCTTTTCCATGTAGTGCTTTGTCAACACTTTTTATATGAAGCACTTCGCATGGTGTTAATTACGCTGTTATTCACAAGCATATTTGTGCTAAATTTGCTGATCAAAATGTGCCTACTTGGTTGACTTCACAGATGCATTTAAAATTCAAATATTAAAGAGTTAGTTGTTCACGATAAGGATGGGTATTGTTAAGTTTTTAATGGTATTACTGCTTTTATCAATACCACTTATTGGTTCGGTACTTTAACGGTTCTCTTATCGGTACTTTTTGTAGTTTGACGCCCTTGTACTATTGGGCGAAAACACGACCATTTCTCATGTGAGATTGCCAACTGTGCAGACGAATATCAAATATTGCAAATTAGAAAAGGTTGTTCAGTTAAATTATGCTACTGTAAGTAATGTTTATTCGGCATTAATTATCCAGTACTGATAGCAAAACAGTTAACGTCAGCGCTTATCGATACTTTGGTCTTTTCTAATTTAGCACCGAGACTGATAAAGTACCGAATTTCGGTAGCCATGCCTAGTTCACACAAAAGTAAAAATTCAGTTTTTTTCTTACTCGCCTTTATGTCGACTTCTGAACACAATTTAAGATATTTTAAATAAAATCCTAGAGTTCTCTCATCCACCCTAGACAGTGAATGTCCTGAGCAAGTGTGCCGCAAGCCTGCGTTTGAGTGAAGGTCTCGGCCGTTAGCTCGCCCCCTGGGGGCTGGCTGCAGTACAAGTCATAAAGCCCGCCTCCTCCGTGTTAATGAAGGAGACTTGAGCCCAAATAAAAAAAATGATTACACTTGCAATAAAATGTCCCGAAAGATGGTTCTGGTTGATTAAGGCACTGGTTATTGTGCTGAAATAGGTGCAGATCTTCATTTTTGTAAACAATTTGTTTTTAGCAGTAATTTAATGCTGGGCGTGTCATCGTGATTGACAGCTGTGATTGACAGTTTCTCAAAGCAGCGCGTCTGAGCTTCGGCAGGAGACTGAAGTAGACTGAAGTGTTATTATTCGATTTCTGTGTTATTTTACCATGACAACATGAGTTCAGCAGTAAACTAAAGTTTCTGACATACATGATCCTGGTGGAACACTGTTTATTCGCTAAGGTCAGGGCTTTCTTCGGGCTTTATTAGTTTGCTGATACACGCCTAGCCACCCAGATAGCAAAATACACTCGGACCAGTTCGGCTAGATTCTCGCCTGCCGGAGACTTACCCCTCAGAGCTCAGACTGACTACCTCTGCTGGACCTACTCCGGATGCGTGGACTCACTGCCCGATTCCAGCCCGAGTCAATCAAGCCAGATGCGGGGGCCGAGCGAGCCGGCGCTGCCGCATGCAAGCCGGAATCAGCCCGCGACGCCGCGAGTAGGTTATGTGCGCTGCGGACCGGAGCTAGCACGATTAAATATATAAAACCTTCATATTTGTTAACGTTATTACATCCATTTGTGCTGATATGACAGCAAACGCATGCTGAGAAGTTCGGGGGGCGTAGTTGATTTTACATAAAGCGTTTGATTGGAAGCTCGACTCCGCTCATTTTCGCGGCTCCTCCTCTGGCTCCATCAGACAGTCCTTCTGCGCATGTCAAGGCTCCAATTTCAGCAGTCTTTTGCAACAGTTTGTGCCCGTCAAGCAGGCGTTTTGCCCTCAAGGCGTTTAATGGGAAAAGAGGCTGTCGCGTCGTCCATATTTTTTACAGTCATTGGTCCTGAGATGTTCAAAGTACAGAAAAGTATAGTTTTGTGTGGCAAAAAAAGTACAAAAGTCTTTGTTTGCCAACATTTCGGTGCACATTTGCTATATCCTACACCAGTGGTTCTCAAACTTTTTTCATCAAGTACCCCCTCAGAAAAAAATGTCTCTCCAAGTACCACCATAATGACGAGGCAGATTAATTATTTGAGTTTGTGTTAACCGTCACAGAGACTAAATTTAATTAGCTCCAATGCATGGCAAAGTTGCTTGACTCTATTTGTGTTCCACGACATTTGAATCACATCCAGGTTAATTAGCCTAAATCTAAGGTAACAAATGAACCAAAAGCCACTTTTAGTTTACAAAACAAACTTTACAAAACAAACGCTTTACAAAACAAATAACATGTCGAAAACATGCATTGTTTTACACAACTACGAACACATTTTTTAACACATTTGTGATAGCTATTCTACCAATGATGCAGCATGGGGAGATTCCTGAGTTTGTATTAACTGAAATGCCAACACAACAGTACTGGTCTGCAAAAGTGCTTCTCTAGCGCTTATCTGCTCCGCAATCGCCGCTGCCGCACACCTTATTTTTTAGCATCTGATGACGTGATGCACTAAAGTCAACATTCTAAGCACCGTACTGATGTGTTCATACGCTTTAGGGAACAGCCAGTGGTGATCACGTAATTGTTCATGTCAAAGGGTAAAAGTGTATTTTTTTTGCGTACCACTAGAAGGAAGCCCGCGTACCACCACAGTTTGAGAACCACTGTCCTACACCAATACAATGCTTCCATGTCATGATGCTAACTTGCTAACCCTCAACAAGTTGTATAGCCCATAGTAAACACGCAACCTGATCTGAGGCAAAGAGCTTAGAATCACTAAGAGGCGACACTCAATAGAACGTTCCATTGCAACAGCAGAGCCCAGCAACAGCCCTGCAATTCCGCCATTTTAGAGTGAAAGCGATCGGCCGTCCATTGGATCTTATTGCTGTCGCGATGGCAAGCAGCTGCTTTATTTTTTATTTATTTATTTAAAAAGCGCATTAAAGCTGAGATACAACCTGAAAGACGACAATACAACACTTACTATCACAATCATCAGCACTTTTACTAGTTTACTTTACAGACTTATAATATGCTGTTGTTCTATTGGAGTTTTAATTCCAAAATGGCCGCCGCACCATCTAGTGTCTGTTTCCCAAATTGCACTAGAGTGTCGCCTCTTGGTGATTCCATGCTCTTTGTCTAAGGTGAAAGACACCCATAACCTAAAAATTAATAACTAAATTACTAAATAGGTTCAAAAGCCAACAAAAAGCGCTCAGGGGTAGCTCAAATATTTGGTCAGTGCTCTTTGGGAAAGGGATTCATCAAAACAACAACAGAAATTAGTCCAAAGCACTCGAAAAATGTGGAAAATTTAAAAAGCCTTTATTCACATGGCTAAAACTTAAAAAACCTATGCGTTTCGGCAAGGAACTGCCTTCATCAGGGTAACTGAACTTTTGAGTACTACGGTCACATGACTCATTTAAATATCTCATAATCACTCAAATAATATATATATATATATATATATATATATATATATATATATATATATATATATATATATATATATATATATA